ACTTTTCAGGACAGGGTCGAAATGGTCTCTCCTGGTGGATCTAGGGAGTTTTGAATCACTAAATAGTGCTAAGGAGAATACTTCTGTGGGTTGAGCATCAGAGTCGGTTGTGCCCATAATCCATCCATCCATTCGCTTCCGCTTATCCTTTTCAGGGTCGCAGGGGACGCTGGAGCCCAGCTGCCATAGGGCGAGAGGCGGGGTACACCCAGGACAGGTCACCAGTCTGTCGCAGGGCCAACACACAGGGACAGACAACCATTCGCACTCACATTCACTCGCGCATTCACACCTATGGGCAATTTGGATTATCCAATTAACCTTAACACGGGGAGAACATGCAAACTCCACACAGAAAGACCCCGGCCTGATGGTGGAATTGAACTCAGGACCTTCCTGCTGTGCAGCAACAGTGCTAACCACCGTGCCATAGTGCTGCCCATAATTTAAAAAACAAAAACAAACAAGAAAACTAACCAACCAAACCTCTCAAATCCTTTCTGCCAGTGCCAAATTGCTTGTTCTCCTTTTGACTCTTGTTTTGAGCTTCTGGTACTCCAGGTGCTGACATTCAGATGCCTGATTGGCACCAGATTAGTGCTACTGAGTAAGTGACCAATTTTCCTGAATTTATAATCTAGCATGGCAAAAATGAACAGAAAAAAACCAAACAATTTTTGGGTCCAAAGATTTTGGGTAGTGTTTGCTACTCTGGCGTAATCACCTGTTATCCAGCTATCATCATCATACATCCATGTTTAATTCAAAAACATAGGAATATTTTCTCTCAATTTTTCGTCTAGAAACTCTTAGCTCACCAATCACAATATACTTCAGGATAGGTTCTTTGTTTATGTTTAGTCACACTTCCCCTATAACTGAACTCACAGACAAATTCAAAGTCATTACTGCAAAGTTTCACCATCAAGTTCAGTGTGCAGCAGTAGATTTGCTGCACACTAGACTTTGTGGACCAGTTATTATTAACGTATGATACTAGCCACTAGCATTAATATGTTTTAAATGGGTAGAATTTGGAAGATTTAGAGAAATTGTAACGTGCCAATACATATTTACAGATACAATTCTAAATGAGTTATCATCTAAATGACCATTTATTCATGCAATAAATGATCTTTATTGAAAAGTCTAAATCCTTACGTGAGAATTTCCAGTTTACAGAGTGTACTCTCCACTCCAGAAGACAGCAGCTTAACTCCTGAATCCCCCAGGTCATTGTCACTTAGGTCCAGCTCTCTCAGACTAGAGGGCTGGGAGGTGAGAACTGAGGACAGAGCTT